AAAATTAAAATAAAAAAATTATTTTAAAATAAATTCAAAATTAAAAAACTATTTTATTCTATGATAAAAAAAACATTAACTATTAATTAATTGTATTTTTTCTTTAATTTTATTTTATTTTATAAAAAATAATTTTTTTATCTTTTAATTTAATTTTTTTATATATTATGTTAGTTAAAATTAAAATAAAAAAATTATTTTAAAATAAATTCAAAATTAAAAAACTATATTATTCTATGATAAAAAAAACATTAACTATTAATTAATTGTATTTTTTCTTTAATTTTATGTTATAAAATAAAAAATAATTTTTTTTATCTTTTAATTTAATTTTTTTATATATTATGTTAGTTAAACTCAATACAAATAATATAATAAAAAAAAAGGATAACGAACACAAGAATTTTCCAATCGAAAGAAATGCGGTATAAAACACCTATCTGATGCGACATTTAAAACCACAACCACAATGTTGTATGGTCTTAAAATTTCCATAGTGAAGAAGGCCTCGTACTCTTCTTATTTTCAAATCAGTCCATCTAGATATGAAATTTCACTCATGCCAATAGGAAATGTGAAACGAAGGAAACAAAATGAGGGCATAACTGGAGTTTTATGTTCGAACTAACTGATACAAAATTTCTTTTTCTTAACTAAAAGTAGACTTGCCCAAAAAAATTAAAAGGAGAAATGATGATTAATGATTTGGTCCTGATGTTTAAAAGTTGGCACTGTGCACTAACATGTTGCCCCACATTTTCAAGGATGTCAATTTAGGTTTTGGCCGACAGGCTGTTTAGGTTTTTATAATTGGGGATTGGGTGGAAATATCTTTTGACTAGGTCAGTTGCTTCTCAGTGAAATGAAGATTGGAAAGGATATTAAACTGAAAACAGCTCTCTGGTATCATTTTCCCATGTAATATATGAATAATAATAAATAAGATTAAAATTTAAAATTAATGATGTAATATAAGTTATATTTTTTAAAATATTAAAAAATAATTTTTATATTATTTAATAATTAATTTTTTTTATTTTATATGATTTATAATATTATATATAT